CACATGTTGCATTGTTTTTTGTTGCATTGAGATTTAATTTCTTTTGATAGTATTTTTGAATACTATGCGTCTCTATACATAATTTAAATCACTTTTCCTGTTAAGTTTGTGTACTTACATACATTAAAATACGATTTTTCAAGTGTACGAATATTTATTACCCCCCACTGTACATTTATATAGTAGCAGATATACGTTTGTTATTGTGTGATGGCAATAAGGCCCATTGCCATTCATCTTTAACCCTTTGCATTCATCTTAAACCCTATACCGCCAAATCAGACTTTCAAGTCACCTTTAAAGAAGCACCGGTTTTCTAATAATTTCACGTTTTCTTTCATTTTTTAAAATTCACACAAACAAAAAAAGTCTTAGATTTATTTTTTACATAAGTGGACAAAGTTTCAAAGTTATTGGTCTGTAAATAACCTAAATAAAATTTCCAATTCCCAATGGCAATTTCCAATTTCTTGTGGAAATTTTATTTCAGTTATTTACAGACGGATCACTTTGAAACTTGGTACACATATGTAAAAGATAAATCTAAGACTTTTTTGTTTGTGTAAATAAAAAAATGAAAGAAAACATGAAATTCATGTTGGTGAAAGAAACATGTTGGTGGGGTGGGCATTTTTCAAAAAAATTTTGATTTCCTCTCCCCCTACCCTTTTGAATTTCCTTCCCCTTCTTTCAAAATATTTTCAAAACTATAATGAAATTGAAAAAAAGCTATGACCAATCTCTAGATCTTTCATTTGCAAATTGAACGGTATATCTATCATTGCTGTAGCTTAAAAACTCTAGGAGGAGATAGGTTTGCAGTGACAATAAGTGTGAATGTTCAGTAGAGCGCGGCAAAGTCCCAAGTGCCTCAAAATAGGCATTCACGGTGGCATGGATACAAGACTAGACATTACTGGAGCTGAAATTCAGTCAAGGATGGTGGGAACGACTGCATGAGCACCATCCCACATAACAGCAGCTGGGTATATAAAGATCAGCGTCTTCAGGTTGTCTATTTATGTGCCCGGCCAGTAATTTTTGCCTACCTTAAATGTGAAAGAACTCCCCCACCCCTAACCCTTTCGCAAACTGTCATCAAGGCATAAATCAATATACAGAGATGATTTTGGTACCGTTGGATAGGTCAGAATGTCAGCTTTAAAGTAAGACTAAAAACCGGAGAAGTGAAATTTGCAATTTTTGACCCAGAAATTTGGGCAGTAAAGGGTTAAACCACTTTCAAAGCACGGTGCACAGCACATTTTTTTTACCAGCATATTATGGCGCACGGCACAGATTGATAAAATGACAATATTAATTCCTGCACATCTTCCTGACCATGGTAAAATGGTATTGGTGGCGTGATTTGTTCATAATTCATAAATGTTAATTTGTTGTGTTTGACTTGGAGACAAATTTCTAGACGGTTTTAGACACATAATAACTAATTCTGACACAGCATGGAACTAGACACACACACAGCTTGTTCCAAGCTGTGTGCAAAAATTAAAATTTTCTTAATTAAAAGCTTAATGGCTCTTGATTAAAAGCCTAATTAAGTAGTGTTCAATATTCAATAGTTTTCTAATTCCGAGCTGTGCCATTTTCCAATACAGCTCACACAGCAATTGGAATTCAAACAGAAGAGGGTCGGAATTACAAATTAGTACCTAGAGTTTAAGCGTGGCCGGAATTAACTCGTCTCACAAAATGCCAAATTTAGTCACGCACAGCGTTGGAATATATGGATTTGGTAGGTTTGCATTCTAAAGGCTTTTAAAGAAATATGGCAACAGTTTGTGACATTTCACTGTTGCTGGCACGTAGTGTGGTGTTTTGAGAGTGAGTGAGTGATGTGAAGATTTTTTTATAGCCATTCATTTTTTGCTACGTCCTTAATGTATCGGAATATACTGCGTTTACCCTAGTTGTTATTACATCGTGCAGGATATTTTGGCACAATCATCAAAGTATTGCAGATTGCCAAAGTTGAAAATTTTATGAATCAACAGGTTTGAGGAGCACAAACCGCAATTTTTTCAATCAAACAAAAATAGGGTAAACGCGGTATATTCCGACACATTAAGGACGCATCGAGAAATGAAAGCTATAAAAAAATAACCGTATGCATTACTCGAGTTCTGTTTGCTTTACATGACTCTCAAAACACCTTACTACGCGCCAGCAACAATGAAACGTCATAAAATGTTGCCATATTTATTTAAAAGCCTTTAGAATGCAAACCTACCAAATCCCTATACTCCGACACTGTGTGTGACTATATTCGGCACGTGGTGAGACGTATTCCGACCGCGCTTCAAATTGTACTAATACGTAATTCCGACATCCACGTGTTTGAATTCCGATTGCTGTGTGAGCTGTATTGGAATACGACACGGCTTTGAATTAGAACACTACTGAATATTGAGCACTACCGTAAAATGGGGTAACTTAGACCACTTTTTTATAAATGATGCCATTTTTTTACTAGCTAAATTAAACTTGAATTGAAACATGCAAAATACAGGTCTATACTCTAGCTTCACTCACCATAAATTGCTGGCTCCTGCCTCTCATAGTCTTT